CTCTGGGGGAAGGGAGGGCTCTGGGGGAAGGGAGGGATCTGGGGGAAGGTAGGTCTCTGGGGGAAGGGAGGGCTCTGGGGGAAGGGAGGGATCTGGGGGAAGGTAGGTCTCTGGGGGAAGGGAGGGCTCTGGGGGAAGGGAGGGATCTGGGGGAAGGTAGGGCTCTGGGAGAAGGTGTCCCGATGTATTGGGTGTTTTGTGGCAGGGTGCCATTGTAATCAGTAGTTGTGCACATGACGAAACATCTCCTCTATTTCCAGGATCATGTGTCATGGAGTCTCCCATGGATCAAGTCCCTGTCCCCACCGTTTCCTTCATTCCTCCCCCGCCACCCCCGAAAAATGCTGCCCGGATGCTGGCGTTGGCACTGGCTGAGTCAGCCCAACAGGTTTCTTCTCAGAAGAGACCACCCTACCTCCAATTCATGGATTTACCACTGCCCCCGCCACCAGAGGAAGAGCCACCGCCAGAGCTGCCGCCACAAAACCTGTCTCCACCACCGGCGGACGCCACTGAGATGAATCCCGACATCACCCCAGAGCCCACCACCAGCACCAGTTCATCGTTCTCCATCACCACTATCCACTACAGCCCCGTGAAATGTCCGAACCCAATGCCGGGACCAAGTCCGTCAGCCATCACCCCTGGACTGAGCCCTTCCACTCAGGTACTACACCTCTTGTATAGGACACGTGGGAGCCAGGGGAGTCACTTTAATTAGGTAGATGGAAGACCCCCGAGTATACGTTATTTGTAATCCTCACCAAAAATTGTTCTATTTGCATTCATGCTGCAATCTGAGACCGCATGAATGTGAACACAACCGGGGAATTTATCAAAACTGGAGCAGACAGAATCTGGAGCAGATGCCCATAGCAACCAATCAGCTTGTATCTTCAGTGAAGTGAAGTGTTCAGTGAAGGTTTGAAAATGAAAGGCGGATGCTGATTGGTTGCCATGGGCAACTGTTTCAGATTCAACTGCATCAGTTTTAATAAATTCCCCTCATGTGATCACACAGCCAGCTTGGCACACAATATCTGTAGCATAGTATATATATATATATATATTTATTATAAGCCTTCAGAAAATAGGATACATATTGAGCAAATGTTAACTTTGTAGGTGGGTTGGATTAGGAGAGTGTCATCGCTCTGCAAGCCGATAGAAAACATACTTTAAAACAAAAGATTAAATATAAAACATTATTTATGGATTACTTTGTATAGTGAAAACGATCAGAATTTCATATATTCATGACAAGACGTAGGGAATGTTTAGTGACTTTGTACATATTTTGCATTCTCACATTCAGCCAGCAGGTGGAGCGTTAGACTGCTTTTCCTATTTCCATTTCTTCTTACTTCTTGTTGACAGAAATCCCGTTTACAGAGCTCAGTAGCTCAAGCTGATATTTTTAGTGATACATTTATAATAGGCGTGTGTGTATGTGAATGTTTGATTCCTTCCTTTTCATTAAATTGTATCTATTGCCATTAGATTTCCTTAAAGGAGAGCTACGAGGTCAGGGCTTTTCCCCATAGTTCTCCTCCGGGTAACGGGAGGACACAAACTAGCGTCCTCCCGTCACCCTAAGCTCAGTATATAGGGAGCTACAGCTCGCGGTATACTGAGACGCTGCAGGCGAAGCGGATCCCGACAATTATGTCTGGATCCGCCCAGCTGTGTGACTGACAGCTGGCTCTGCCTATCTAAAGGCAGAGCCAGCTGTACCTGCCCCCTCCCCCGTCCGTTCCACCAGTCAGCGCTGGCGGATCGGAGCGGGGAATCCAGCCCCTCCCCTTTCACAGCAGAGAGCCGTGACAGGATCGAGAGGTGAGCGAAAGCCGGCATGTGTTCGCTCACCTCCCGATCTACTGAGCCGACCTGCGACAGTCTCATTGTCACAGGTCGGCTAGAACTATGAGGCGAGTGAAAAGCACTCCCCCCCTCCCCCTCATAGTTCTCCTTTAAAGTGACATTAAAGGACATCACCCCCCCCAATGTTAGTGTAAGGACTTACCTTAAATGATGCCTCCTAATCCGATCATCTTCTTTAGTGTAGTTTTCAGCAGTCCCTCCAGCGCTGGGTGATGGTCTCCGATCCGGCGCTGACTCCTCTGTCCTCCTCTCCTCTGATGTCCCACGGTGTCTGTGCGCGTGCATGCTGCTCCATAGACTTACCTTGTTTCTCTCCTCGTCTCCCGGCCGAACATCTGAACTGCGCATGCGCCCGCCCCATGATCTTTTGCGGCCGCCCGAGACTCCTCAGATGTTCTGACGGGAGCGCGCGGCGGAGACACTGGTAAGTGTAAACATGTTTGAAAAGGTGTTTTAAAAAAAAAGTTTTTGCATATATCTCCTGCTTGCTATTCAATTGGTGGCTGACTAAATACTTTTTTGCCCCACTGTATATGCAAATACACGCTGAGGGTTTATTAACCCTTTCACACTGTGCTATGCAGAAAAGGCCAACAGCTAGCTATCTCACAGTAGCCAATCACATTCTTCATTTCTAAGCTTCGTTGGAGGAATTAAACAATTCTGAGTAATCATGGCATAGATCATTTGAACGATGAGGACGTATTCATCCATGTACGTAGACTGTTGGCGTGAACTGTAACCTCTGTGGTCTTCTACATTTCAGGTGCCAGAATCCATTCCCCCTGAAGACATGCCACTGCCGGGGCCGGGCGACATGAATCCCACCTTCCCTACTGAAGCCTTCACTCCATCCCCTCCCTCTGATAAGCCCAGTCCGAGGCCTCACCTTCACCAACGCTCAGAGTCCTTCCCATCACACCCAACGCAGAGCGCGGCTCCACCAGCTCCACCCGTCCGCACCATGGAGAGTCGCCTGGCTACTGCTCTGCACTCCAACTACAATGAGGCAATCACAGCCAGCAATTACCACTCCTTCCTCAACACAATGATGCTGCCGTCTTCATTGGAGGACGCACTGCCCAGACACAACTATTCAGCTCATGTGAAGTCTGAGAATATGACGGAGCAAGGAGCCAACTACAGACATCCATATCCAGCCCAGGCCAAAGCAGAAGACAAAGTGGAAATGGGAGATGCCTACCGACAATATCTATCCAGTAAGTCTGAGAGCACGGAGCTCGGTTACCGCCATCTCCATCCTTCTCCGACGGATCCAGAGACTCTTACCGATACCTACGACACATTAATGCATCATAAGGCGTCTGCAATTCCCAAGTCCTACAGAGCTGAGACTCTGCACATGCCGCCATATTCTACTCGCTGCGAAGCTCCCTCCTCCAATTCCACACTTTATGGCACTTATATCACCCAAGCCAAACACTCGGGAATGCAGCACTCCCGCGCAAGAAGTCGTCCAGACTACATGGGATCTGCGAGTCCAGGTCTACGAAGTTACTCCGAGGACTCTACCTCTTATCCTACCATAAGGCGGGTTCAGTCTATGCATGTGCCTATGCAACCTCCACCTCCTCCTGTACGTGCAGTCCCCATTTCCAGAACCGAGGTCCCCCCAGAGGAAGAGCCTGCCTACTGCCCACGCCCAGTGTACCAGTACAAAGCATGCCCACCCTTCAGCTCCTCTTCGGATTATCACGTCACTCAGCTGCAGCCTTACTTTGAGAACGGGAGGGTACATTATCGATATAGTCCCTATTCAGGGAACACAACATATTACTCTTCTGATGGAACCTTCTATGACATGGACCCCTATAGCACCTTGCGTTTGCGACAGTTGCACCTCTACCCAAGCCGTGATTTTGCTTCTTACACTACGAGACACCAGCCCAAGACTGCATATCGATCGCAAGGCCTTGCTCCATACCCCAGAGGAACCCTACGTGAGCACAATTTCATCAGTCGAGATGTGCCTCCAGAGCACCCTCGGCCCCTTCATATCTCCTGGGATATGGAGGATATGGACCGTTACAGGCTGCAGTCTCTAAGAAGAGAGAACAAGTCGCGTCAGAGATCCAAGGGGCCTGTCATGTCTCAGTATGATAACGTTACTCCATCTCTAGTGGAGGACATAGCGGGTTTAGATGTGATTCATCTCAGAAGCCGCTCTGACCCGGGAAAGACCCCCGGCCTTCTAAGCGTTGCTGAGTCAAAGGATAGCCGATATCCTGGAAGAACGGAAGGTGACGAGAGACTGGCAGCCCCTCCCCCTCCATATGGAAATGGGCATCAAGATCGGCCATCCCTTCCACAGAAGCAGACTGGGACAAGTAGGAGTAGAATACAACAGGAGGTCAATCCTGAGCACCGGACTCCACCGCAGCAGGGTACTGGACACCGGCAAACCTCCGATGGAAGAAATGGTCCACCATTCCCACCGGCAGAGTACAACTCCAAGTCCATGCCAATGCCTTCTGATCACGCATCTTATCATTCCTCCAACAGTAAGTGCAATGTGAACCCCCAGGAACCCGTCCGGCTAAATCACAAGGAAATGAGGCTGCCGGAAGATAAAGACCGGTCCCTTGCCAGGCCGGCCGACAATTCTCACCGAGACTGTTACAGAGAAGACACGGCTCAGTTCTCCTCTAATACAGCTCCACCTAAGCCGGAGAGGAGCCACAGCCTGAGAGGCCATAACCCCGAGTCTTTGGAAAGAGAACCCGCCATCTTTTATCCATATCAAACTCTCCACAGCAAGCTCCACAGCTCCATAACCGCACTATCCCAGTACGACAATGTGGCGGATTACCATTCCATACCCCACCATCGATCAACCAGCCAAGCGGCTCCGAACGCCTTCCCCAATTCCAATGCTCGGAACTATGCCACGGCACTCGGCCAAGGAGGCTTTCTAGCTGCCGAGTTAGCAATGCAAAGGCCGGAGGCCAAAGTCCACGCAGAGTGAGGTTCTGCCAGGAAGGGAGGGTAGAAGGTGGAGAGGACTTCATTCTTATTAGGCAGACCTCTGCTGGACAGCGGACTGTTTTATTTTTTCAAAAGACGAGACAAAAAAAGATTAAAAAAAGAAAACCAAATCCCTAAATGCGATACACAATAACCTGAGTCCCCAATCCCACCACGAGCAATACACCCGGACAGCTGCACTCCGCTCCATTGTTAGAGAAGTGTTTTTATGTTGTAAAAG